GGTCCATATCAATTCATGTCATTAGATTATTAGCTTTTGATATTGTTGATATTTTCTAATTATTTCAAATATTTTATTTATAAGTAAATTAAGTAATAACAAAATCTCGTCTGATTTAGACACGGAAATATAATATTGTCATAATTTTCTTATTCTTTCCCAGCAACACTGTTTATATTTTTATATTTATCTTAATAAAACAGAACTCAAAAATATTTGAATCTTATTTATTTTAATTTAATTTAAATCAATAATTCTATTAATATACATTTATATTTAATTATCATATATAATCATAAACATAAACAAAATATAAAATAAAAGTAGATAAATAGAGTGTCGAATTTTTTATAAAACAAAACCACTGTAAAGTATATAAATTGAATATAGGTTGTATTATTGTGTTAAAAAAATATTTTGTAAAATGTTAAAAGGTAAAACAAAAAATGTTGAATAAATAAACTAATGTACATATTCTTACGGACTAGTTTGCTGGTAGAACGCATGTCACCAACTTAAATGTTATTAGCTTAATTATAACTTATAAGTAAAGCTGCAAAGTAAGATATAAATACACTTGAAGATATGGAAAATGAAGGAAAGCAGGAGAGAGGTGTGACTTGTCTCAAGAACTCTCGCCAAAAGGATGAGAGGTGGAGAATGGAATGGAGGTGAAAGGTATGATACCCTTGTATTTAATTATTTGTACTAGTTTGATTGTGTGCCTTTGGTTAAGTGAGAGTAGTTTAGGCGATTATTGGCTAGCTTAAACCAATACACATGTCTCTTGTCTGAGAAAGTATATAGAACAACTAAACATTAAGTCATCTTTTCACTTAGAATCCTAATAGTTGACTGTAAGAGAGAAAGGCATACATTATACAGAGATCTTGAGCTCGAGTTTGAGCTGTTTTTTTTGTGTGGATTGTTTGAAATCTAGTCCCCCAGTAGTTATATTGCATTGAAAAATGAATTCTAGATGAACAATATGTCGTTCGCTTTTGTGTGTGTGTTTTAACAATGGTAATGATTAGTTGGAAATTTTTTTTCCATCTAAATTTTTTTGTATTCAATATCTATTACAACTAATAATAATGTAGTTGACAGAATACATCACATCAGAAAAGCCAAAACAATTCTTGAGAAACACATAAAAAAACTTATAAAATAGGATCTAACACATATTTTATCTCTTGTTTCAGTATGAAGAGAACGGAAAATGCAAGTAGGAGAAACTTTCGTTATTCATTGAGTTAACTGATATTATGTTAAGATTGGCAATCAAAATTGTGAAAGCATGTTTCTGGTCTTCATTCACTAGACTGTACTCATGAACCTTTTTCGGCACCTTGTTCCCAAGTAAAGACAAAGTTTCCTTTGTTGTAAAAACAGAGAGATGACTCTGTTGATCACCCCACGTGAAACTGTCTTCTCCCAGTGAAGAAAATAGAGCAGACATATTACGTATAAAGTCCATGTTCGGATAGAATCGATGTGAATCGTATTCGGCGACCAAAAATTTAAGGGTAATAAAGACATGACGTAAGTCATATGATAAACATATACCAATGCGACTACTTATATGGATAATGCCGACCGATGGAAAAAACAACTACAAGTAGAATGGTTGTTAAGACTGTTATTATGGTGGTTACGTTTACTTTTCGCCTGCTAATGGTGTACTCTCAACATATTTGAGAGAAAAGTAGCATATAATTGTGGTCACTGATTGCTAACGCAGCGGTTCCAAAAGAAACATGGCCATAATCTCTCAGAATGTTTACATTTTCTACCTTGAGCAAAATCGTAACCGTCAGTCATCAGAGTGAATGCCTCAACTACAATTGGTTCTTCTGGGATTTCTATCAAATGTGAACAGTCCTAAAAGATCAATCAGTCTAAAAGATCAATCAGAAAACTAAGGTCACACTAATTATCATACCAGAAGGCAGAAGCTTACCTTTTTCCCATCACCAATGTCGCAAGACAAAAAAGAACACACTAGAGGTATAAAGGATAAACGCGGTATTAGGGATAATATATCTATTTCACATCGAAAATTCAATGATACTTTAAGTAATATATAAAAGGTTTATGGCCAATCCACTAATTATCAATTGGTTTTAAGTTGGAAGCCTATAATAAATCCGAATCCAACATGTTATCAGAGTCCAGATCCTAACAAATCCTAAACTCCTAATTAATTGATTAACCCTTCCGACCAAGTACATAGGTCGTGTTTAACCTTCCGACTAGGTATAATTGTCGTACTTGATTCACTCGACCGAGTATAATTATCTTAAAGTTCTGAGATTTTTGGCCGATAAGAGCCATCATCTCGAGGAGGGGTATTATGGATAATATATCCCACATCGGGAATTCAATGGGACCTTAATTAAGTAATATATAAAGGTTTAGGGCTAATCCACTAATCACCAATTGGTTTTAAGTTGGAAGCTCATAATAAATCCGAATCTAACAAGCGGCTTCCAAACCCAAGTTTATTGCCTCTGCTGCCCAATCATTTTTTACGTTACAACATATGTTCTTACATCCATGTCATCACCCATAAAGAATCAATAGTTGAGAGGAGGAGCCAGCCAAGTTTTTTAAGGTCTGGTCTTGTTACAAACAACAAACGTTTGGAGTTCGAGACCCCATTTTTCTTTGGGTAACAAATTGTAACGCCATGAACGCCTCCGCCAGTGGGCTCCCAAGCCTGCTCTCATGGCCTAGAGTCCCACCACCCGGCCGGGGTAGGTGTGTTTAATTTTCTGATGGCTCGGAAGACTTGTTTACTAACACCTACAATCACCATGTACTCATTTCCTGTGTTTTGACTTTATTCACATGATACTGCGAATTACTTTTTGATATGGCATTCATCTTTCCACTATTCTATCTCAAACACATTTAATTCTAAAAAAATTTCTAGACAAAATACTGAAAAGATAAATGCACTTTAGTGATTTAAGCAGATAAAGAACTATGTGTGTTTGTCAAAATTTTTTTAATGTTTTCAGTTTATCACAAGTATCATAGTTCTTAGTTCTTAGGTTAGATCTGCATCGTATAACTAACTTAGTAAACAATTCTTGGGGGATCTTTTTATGGTCTGATCTGAAGGAGGAGAACTCTGAAGATGTATATGTTGTACCAGTTCGTGAAGTACTACATGAGGTAGTACATGTGTGTGTCATGAAGATGGGCTGGGTTGGAGTTCGTGTTTTGTGATGTCCGTAGACTTGTTAAGCTTTGAGAAGTGGTAATATATTTACTGGAATATTTACATTAAATGTAAATGATATTACTTGAAGAGAAAAAAGAAAGAGAATTATTCCTTAGGAGAAAATGGAAAGTTGCTTAAGTTTGCTTTTGGAAGAACTTGGGGAGCAAGTTTTAGTTACCTATACAAAGAGGACGTGCCTCCATGGAAGAATGTGTCTCTGCTAAAAAAGAAGAAAATTCGAGAGATCGTTATGGTATTGCTAGTGTGATCAAGCCTTTGGTGTCACTACTCTGCGTTAGGTGCTAACGTAGTTGTTGAAGTACTTCCGAGAAGTGGAAGATTGAAGCCTAGACTCAGGGGGAGTTTAATTAGTTCGGGGTCTGGAGGATCTTGATAAACAAAAGTCTAGACTCTAAAGTGAGTTTTAGCTTAGGATTGGGCTAATCCTAAAGGATTATTGTAATAGAAAAGATTGGTGTGAGACTTTCTAGTTCTAGTGAATTCGAAAAGAGAAACTTGTGTCTTTTAGTTTCTACTATTTATTTTCTGGTCTCACTACATCAACAAGTGGTATCTTGTGAGATCTTGAAGGGTGAGGACAGAAACTGGTTCAGGAAGAAGGACAGAGTTTGTGATGGCGGCATATCAAGAAGGAACGAATGAAGAGGACACCATGGCTCAGTTTGAGAATCAGAGGATGGATGAAGAGGAAACCCGCTCTGATACCACTTGTTGATGTATTGAGACCAGAAAATAAATAGCAGAAAGTAAAATACACAAGTTTCTCTTTTCGAATTCACTAGAACAAGAAAGTTTTACACCAATCTTTTCTATTACAAGAATCCTTCAGGATTAGCCCAATCCTAAGCTAAAACTCACCATAGAGTCTATATTTTTGTTTATCAGGATCCTCCAAACCCTGAGCTAAACTCCCCCTGAGTCTAGGCTTCAATCTTCCACTTCTCGGAAGTACTTCAACAACTACGTCAGCACCTAACGCAGAGCAGTGACACCAAAGACTTGAGACCACAAGCAACACCAAAACGATCTCTCGAATTTTCTTCTTTTTTAGCAGAGACATCTTTTTCCATGGAGGCACATCCTCCTTGTATAGGTAACTAGAAATTGCTCCCCAAGTTCTTCCAAAAACAAACTTAAGGAACTTTCCTTTTTCTCTTAACGAATAATAACTCTCTTTCCTTTTTCTCTTCAAGTAATATCATTTACACTTAATGTAAATATTCCAGTAAATATATTACCTCTTCTCCAAGCTTAACAAGCTCACGAGCATCACAAAACACGAACCCCAACTCAATCCATCTTCATGACACACACATGTACTATCTCATGTAGTACCTCACGAACTGGTACAACATATACATCTTCAATCTCCCCCTTTTTGACTACGTATGTGAACTCATTACCTGTGGATAGAAAACCATGTCTTCAAATTCCACCCTGACAGCACCAGAATAACATACTAAGATATTGATGAGGCCTTACATTACTAAAAACATTCTTTTGATTGTGTATAGCAGTATAGATTTTTGGAAGAAAAATCCATTCTCAACATAAGTAGTTTTCTCTTCTGGCTGGGCGGGAGGGAAGAGGCTCCTTGTATGGACAAAAAAAGTGCATCAGCCCACTAATATTGCGTTTTTCACGGCCCAATAAATAACGGGCTGTTTCGGCCTTTTCAAACCTAACCTGGTAAACAATCTAATCTCGCTCTGCCGCTCTCTGGTAAACAAAAACAACCGAAAGTTCCAAACTTTTTTTTAGGGTTTCCTCAAAACTTTCTCCTTTACCTCTCTCTCTCTCTTCCTCTTTCCGCTTTGAAATCAAACAAGAATGGGGAAGAAGAAAACGAAGGCTGCAGAAGAATCTCAAAACGATGAATCTCAGACCCAAACAGGGATCTTCACCACTCTCTTCTCCGGCGACGTGGCTGAGGCCGGCGAAGCCTCCGGCTTTTCGAGTCTCTTCTCCGATAACAACCCTTTCCGGCGAAAGAAGCCTGAGCCAAAACCTGAAGAAACCCACGAAGAGGAGGAAACAGTTACGCCCCTGAAGGCGAAGAAACCCAAAAAGGTCAAAACTTTGGTTTCAGATTCCGACGCCGAGGAGGGTGTTGTGGAAACTGGGTTGGAGTCAAAGAGGAAGAAGAGGAAGAGAGACGAGCTTGAGAACGATTACGAGGCGAAGAAGTACGGAGCTGTGGAGGAGGAGACGAAGAAGAAGAAGGTTGGTGAGAAGAGGAAGAAGGCTGATGATGAAGCAGCGGAGACGATGGTTTCAAAGGAAGGGTTTGATGATGAGAGTAAGCTTCTTAGAACTGTTTTCGTCGGGAACTTACCTTTGAAGGTTAAGAAGAAGGTTGTTTTGAAGGAGTTTAGTAAGTTTGGTGAGGTTGAATCTGTGAGGATACGCTCTGTTCCTATTGTTGATGTAAGTTTTATAACTTTTTTTCTTAAAAAGGTTTGATTTTTTTTAGTGTTGTGTGGGGTTTAAGTTGTTGGTTTTGATTTGGTTTTAGTCTAAGAGGACGAGGAAAGGAGCTATTATGTTGAAGCAAATCAATGAGAAAGCATCAAGGTTTGTGCTTTGAAACCCTATTTGTGTATTGAAGTTTTAGTGAAGGAGAAGTTTTGAATGTTTGTCTTTTTGAAAATGCAGTGTTCATGCTTATGTTGTGTTTGAGACAGAGCAATCTGCTGAAGCTTCTTTGGCACTTAACATGTCTCTGGTAATATAACAGTTTTAGCCTTTTTCTATGTGGTTGAATGAGTTATGTGTTGGTTCTGATTAAGAGTATTTGGGATTGTATTCAGATTGATGGGAATCATGTCCGTGTTGATAGAGCATGTCCACCTCGTAAGAAGCTGAAAGGTCAAGCTCAGGATACTCTTTTGTATGATAATAAGAGGACTGTCTTTATAGGCAATCTCCCTTTCGACGTGAAGGTTAGTACTAGTAGTAATCTCAGGACTCTCTTCTTCAGTTGAGAACATTATATCATAATCTCAGTTTTGTGTTTGTTTGTCTTCTACTTGCAGGATGAGGAGGTGTATCAATTGTTTACTGGTAAGAACAATCTGGAGAACAATTTAGAAGCTGTTCGTGTTATTAGAGATCCTCACTTGAACATTGGAAAAGGAATAGCTTACGTCTTGTTCAAAACAAAGGTACGTTTAGTAAAAACTATGATTCTATCTATAAGGTTTTAGGTATAATTTAGATCTGATGAGTCCTTTTATTGGGTTTAGGAAGCTGCAAATCTTGTAATCAAGAAAGGGTATCTGAAGCTTAGAGAGAGAGAGTTACGTATCTCTCGAGCCAAGCCTGATGTAACACCATCAAAGAGAAAGACCAATCCTTCTGAAGCTTACTCACCAGCTGAGAAAAGACGAAACAAGGAAAAAGTAGTTACACCAACTGCGACGGGGAAGGCTAATCTTTCGTATCAAGGTGTACGAGCTTCAAAATCTGGTGATGATGATAAGAAGAAGCCTTATCAGAAAAGTCCTGCGCAGTCTAAGATGAGACCTAGAAGCAGCAGCAACAGCAATGAGGGCAACAAGAGTGGTGGTAATGGTAATAGTGCTGTGAAGCAGCGAAGTCAGAAGCGGCCAGCGGTTGCTGCAAGAAAAGCGAAAGCAAACGCTAAAGGCTCAAAAGAGAGTGGTGGTAAGAGATTTGCAGGGACTAAGCGTAAACAAGAAAGCAGAACTCCTGAAAGCTTCTCTAAGAAGAAGAAGCCAAAGCGGGGTTAGGCGGTTTTAGTTAAACCATAAGATGTGATGTGTTCTTCTCCTTTAGCTTTGATACTTGTCTTGCTTCTGTATCGTTTTATGAAACAACATGATATAACTCAGTGTAATGTTGCAACAATTTCGGTTATACTTACAGAGTTTAAAAAAAAGGCTTATTGAGATACTGAGAAAAGCTTACATTGAGCAGTTTAGTGGGTTTTATCTTTACGGTTTCACAGAAAGATAACTTTACTAAAGTGAAATGAGTTACTACTTTTTCAACATGTGCCTGAACAAAACAATAGAACAGCTTCAGAAGACAAATGGGTTTTTACATTTGGAATGTGGAACTCCCAAGATTATTGTTTTGACGACTACAACCCTCTTAATAAATGGAATGCAGCCATTATATGACGTTTTCTCTATTCAGTTTTGTTCATATCTAATTATGGCATTGGTTAAGTATAATCATGTTCCGTGATTGGTTGTGGGCTTTGTAAGCCATTCAGTTTTGAAAAACTTAATTAACGCCTAGATTCTGAGTTTTTTGTTCCCAGAGTTCAAATATGAAGTCGACAATATATTATGATTGACTGGCAACGTTTCGTATCTATCACCGAAATTTTATTAAATGCTTTTTCTTTCCAGAATTCATACCGTCTTTCCGTTTTTTTTGACCGCCAAGAATCATTTTCAAAATATAAAATAAAGATTAAAATTCGAAATTAGAAAAGGGGCAATTTGTCAAATAACTATAGCAAAATTCAAAATTAAAGATATAACCATAAGGAATGTGATGTGACAATTAACGCCGTTGTTGGACGATTTTCACCTTGCACACGCCTACGCGGCTGTAAGAGGCGAGTGAGCAATGCAAGACAATATACTATAATGCATATGATATAGTATAGTCAGTGAAAACAAACCATAAACCATGAATCCAAACCATTAACCCAATATATATATGTTATATACTATACTATAGTATATATTGAATAGTATAGGGAATACAATAACACACAAAACAACCTTCGAGACTAACATTCAAAAGGGGTACACTATGTTGAAATGCGACTAGATATATAAAGCTAAATATTCAGGTGCTTTGAGAGGAAACATATAAACATGCACAAAATACAAAATGAGAAGAGTGACATATTTCTAAAGTGAATTTACATACTATACTATTGTATACAAGTACTAGTATAGAAAATATAACATCTTACCTCACAAATCACCTACAAAATAACAATCAAACATATGGTCTATCAGGTATGAAACTGTATTCATTGTTGATAGGTAAAACTGTGTTGATTGTTGGTAGGTAAAATATAGAAGGAGAGGGAGAGGGAAGGAGACATGGACAAGGACTTGGACATGGACATAGAGAGGGAGAGGGAGAGGGAGAGGGAAAGGGAGAGGGGAACAGGGAGGGGGAGAGGAGGAGGGGGAAGGAAACGGGGAGAGGGGGAGGGGTATACAATAGCAGGTGGCATGTATGTATAGGTTATATACTATACTATAGTATATATTGGATAGTATAGGGCATACATTAACACACAAAGCAACTATTGAGACTATCATCCAAAAGGGGTACACTATGTTGAAAGGTGACTAGATATATAAAGCTAAATATACAGGTGCTTTGAGAGGAAACATATATACATGCACGAAATACAAAATGAGAAGAGTGACACATTTCTAAAGTGAATTTACATACTATACTATTGTATACAAGTAGTAGTATATAAAATATAACATATTACCTCAGAAAATATAACATCTTACCTCACCAAAGTATAGTAAAACTGTAACGAAGTCATGTGGTGGAGGAGAATGAAAAGGATGTTGGTTGTTTGCAAATGAAACCAATATACAATATGATGAACATACTGGAAATGACAGAAGTATATAATAGCAGGTGGAATGTATGTATAGGTTATATACTATACTATAGTATATATTGGATAGTATAAGGAATACATTAACACACAAAGCAACCATCGAGACTAACATCCAAAAGGGGTACACTATGTTGAAAGGCGACTAGATATATAAAGCTAAATATTGTGGTGCTTTGAGAGGAAACATATAGACATGCACGAAATACAAAATGAGAAGAGTGACACAATTTTGAAGTGAATTTACATACTATACTATTGTATACAAGTACAGTATACATAACATCTAGCTCACAAATCACCTACAAAATTACATTCCATTTACAAAAGAACAATCAAGCATAGGGTCTATCAGGTATGAAACTGTGTTCGTTGTTGATAGGTAAAACTGTGTTGATTGTTGGTAGGTAAAATATAGAGGGAGATGGAGCGATACATGGACAGGGACATAGAGAGGGAGAGGGAGAGGAAGAGGGAGAGGGAGGGGTTGAGGGACGGGGAGGGGTTGAGGGAGGGGGAGAGTATGAGAGTGGGAGAGGGGGAGGGGGAAGGGGAGGGAGAGGGGGAGCGAGAGAGGGAGAGGGAGAGGGAGGGGGAACGCGAGAATGAGAGTAATCGGTATATGGTTACTATACTATTATTTTTTCTCATATGGTATAGGCTTATACTTCATCTTCTTCATCCTTCACTGTTGCGTTCAGCCCCACCGTAAACTACTTCAATTAGATCTACAAAAAAAATTGGATTCCGACGAGATATAATGAATTACAATACAGTTTAAACTATTATTTTCATGGTTGAAGAATATAACTCTGATTTTCGCTTCCTTCCATCACCGAAGTTTTGACGCCTCCTCAATCTCTCTCGTCTTTTTCCAGTTTGTAACCCCATATAATGTATTACAACTAAAGTTTAGAAAACGAAAACTACGATTCACTTCCACGCGCAAGCTGAAGATAAAATGGGGAATAAAGAGAAAAAAACCAATTGTATCATAACTAAAGCCTTGCAATGGTTATTTTCCTTTTTTTTTTGTTTCTTATAGCTATTGGCCCTAATTCCCCATTAGAAAACTTATATGGTAAAAAAAAAAACAGTAGAAAACAGAAACTGATTACTATCTTAAGCCAAGGTTAATTTAACTGCTGCCCGCAAATCACACAAAATGAAGAAAAATTTATTACAAAGTTTTAATTCTTAAGAGAAACACGAAGTTTAAATTTGTGCACAAACAATTCCTTTTGATGTTATTTGGAAACTAAAAAAAAACAATATTAGAACTGCATATAATCTTGATCAAGTAGCTCTATAACTATAATAAACAAGGATTAAAGTTGAATCAAATCGGGGAAGACAAACCATTTTAAAAAAATTAATGATAAAATATAAATCCGTATCAAGCTAGAAAACTTGTTTCATTTACGATCAAAACTCAAAAAAAAAAAAAAAAAAACTAATAACTTAAATCCAAATAAAACATCATATATGCACACATATTTACATATGTAAATGAGTTACCATCTGTTCTAGTTCTAGGTCATGCTTGATTCCTTGTACGCCACTGGCAGCTGATTTTTTTCAACCAAAATCAATATCTACTTGTGGCATACAGGGAGCCAGGCATGAAGACAGGTATGTATGCATGTAAATTTCAGTACGAGACCTTCAAACGTAAACGTTAGTCGTCGATCTTGGCTTGAGTCGAATCAAAATCTTTGTTTATTATTGTTGGGAAGAGAAAATGAACGTAGAGAGACATTGAAGATAAATGGAGTTTTGTAGCACATATATATATAGAGGAGAAAAAGTAAGAGCAGCGCTAATTATGCTATTGCCAAATTTTAAAATAAATAAATTTAAAGCATATGAACAAAGTTGGGTTTCCATTTACTCACTTTCCTTAAAGGCTTCTCTTTTCCCATAATATTGTTATTTATTGTGATAAAATCATGCAAATAATACTATTTTAAAATATAACTTTAAAAGTTAATTGATATCATGAATCGTGATAGTTATTTGTAACTAATCAAAATCATTATAAAATTGCTTAAACTCCTATATCATATATTTTTTTATTGTAAGTAGATGAAATCGAATTTGGATTCTTCTTCCTCAATATAACAAAGGTTATATATTAGGGATGAATATTCGGATACCCACTCTAATTCAAATCAGATATTTCAGTATAGAATATTGAATCCATTTAAGTATTTTTACATTTTTGATCAGGTTCAGATATTTGTAATCCGATCGGTTATTTTAAATTACTTAAAAAATAGGATGAATATATTTCATGAATAAAAAAACCTAAGTCAAATAACAATATGTACGTTATAAGATAGAATAATATAATATTATGCAAACAAAAGCGAAATAGATTGTTAATCTAAAAATAGAATCAAGTATTCAGAGATAATGATCAATATTTCACCAAAGCAACCTTAGAAAAAAGATGTATACTCTAGCAAAAATGAAAGTGTGATTAAAGATAGAACCATTAAATCTATGGCGTAGACAGATTACATGTAGTGTGAATTATAAAGAAGAAATGAATTGAGTTATATTAAGGATTTAGGGTTACTATATATATTTCAGATTTTTTTTTAGATATCAAATATTACCTGATATAGCTATATATATCCAATCTTCTCTAACTCAATAGCTATTCAGATATTTTTATAGATTAGATCTGTTCGATTTTGGATATCGGATAAAATGCTATGTTGTACCTATGAGTTATTTTTAGTTAATTAATAGGAGAATTTCGAATTATAAAGAATAAACGGGCCACATATCGATCAATCATCTCCACCACCACAACGGACCTACATTTTTATTCCAATCCAAGACTTTGGCTTTGGACAATTCAAAATGGTATCACATTAATTAGGTCTTGCTTTGTTTTTTTATTGTATTAGAGTATGCGTTTCAGCAATGTGTTCGTCTTCAAAGGTTATGATTTTTGTATGTATATCAGAACTTTTCTTGGGAAATTGTAAAATTAAACGTGAAAAGCAAAAAGAAGACAACAACTTAGTTTTTTTTTTTTTGTGAAGCATTGATCATTCATTTAACAAAAACCGGTTACATAAGAGATCTGCGACCAAGACAAGAACTTAGTTTACGCTTTCCTTTTAACCCTTTAATATTCGTATATGAGATCTGATAAATAATGATAACGAACACATAAATGCTACGTTAAAACAAGTAACAAACAAATGGAAAACACTCATGGTCGAATCAAAATCTTAAATCTTTACAAACTTTGAAAT